AGGTTGGAATGCAAAAGGCAGCAAGTAAACTGCAGCTTGAGCGTGAACAGAACCTAGCAGACAGTCGATGGCTGGAAAAGCAGAAGGGAGCCGAGATACAGAGAGAAGCTGCTGAAAGGAAGAAGAAAACTCACCAGATGCTACAGGACATGGCCTGACTTCAGCTCCAAGTCAGAAGAGCAAGGGAAGAACAGCAGAAATTGTATCCTCTTGAAAGTCCAGTTTCTACCAATGTTGGTCTGAGGTATAACTCTTTGCAGTTCTCTGGGTGTAACCGTATGTACCCCATAAGCCGTGCCAATGCTCGGTATGGGAGCGGTAATGGAAAATTCATAGAGAGTGTGAATGTTGATGTCCTCTATGAGTTACTGTACACGTGGCTTTAGCCAGAATCCACCTTGAATGGAATGGGGCTCAGCTTGAAGTTATAGCTAGGGCTAGGGGGTTATTGCCTAAGGATCTTTTGATTGGGGAAGAGACCAAAGGTTTGTTCAGTCCAGGTAGCCAGTCACAGGACAGGAATGATCTTCAACCTGTGTCTGTATGGGCAATACTAGCTGTAGTGAGACAGACCCAAGGATGGGGAGCTCTTGGGATGCACTCAGTGATGTTGGTGTCATCCCTTCCTGCATCAATTTTGCGTTGGGGGTGTGACGTTACTGACATGAACTGGGACCATGTAGATCATTGCTGCAACCAAGGTCCTGTAGTGGCACCCAAATCGTGTATAAAGGAGGTCAAATAAGGTGTCTACGACCAGGTTATGGGTTGCTGGTTATGATTATGCTGTCTGGGTACATGTGTTATTTTTGTAGTTGAAGTTATGAATATTGGCTCTAGACTGTCTGTATTTCACACTTGCGCTATGCTTCTGGGAAACATCCCAGACAAGTTGGTGTCAGCGCTGCCTGGCCTGCTTGATGGCCCATTAAGGACCATCAGCTACAACTGACCCATTGAGAGAAGGCAGATACGCCTTGTAACTCAGCAAAGTATGCAGGGACTGGCCCATGTGACTCCAGACTCCATTTTGCTGTAATTTCCCACAGTAAGGACGACTTTGCTACAAACTGAAGCTCTGAACAAAGGACTGAAGGACCCATCCCAGCTGGGGATGTTCCAGAGACTTGATTTGAACCTGCAGTTTATTCTATCGCTGCTGCAAGCCTGAACCAAGAACTTTGCCATTACTGTATGTAATTGATTCTATTTAACCAATTCTAACTCTCATCTCGATCTTCTTCCTTTTATGAATAAACCTTTAGATTGTAGATTCTAAAGGATTGGCAACAGCGTGATTTGTGGGTAAGATCTGATTTGTCTGTTGACCTGGGTCTGGGGCTTGGTCCTTTGGGATCAGAAGAACCTTTTTTCTTTTACTGGGGTATTGGTTTTCATAACCATTCATCCCCATAACGAGTGGCACTGGCGGTGATACTGGGAAACTGGAGTGTCTGAGGGAATTGCTTGTGAGACTTGTGGTTAGCCAGTGGGGTGAGACCGAAGTCCTCTTAGTCTGGCTGGTTTGGTGCCTTAGAGGTGAAAAAACCCCAGCCTGGGGCTGTAACTGCCCTGCTCTGAGCGATTTGTCCCGAATTAGCACTCTCAGTTGGGTCCCGCCAGAGCCGCACCGTTACAGCCACTCAGCGGGGCTGTGTGGAAAATGGAGCCCGTCCTGCTACTTTGAGGCCTTTTGTCAGAGCAATTACAAAATTGGGTGATCAAGATAATAGCGCTGCTGTAACAACCGTAGATGCCTGGGAGGCGTCTGACTGCGTGCTGCACGGCATCCGGATTGAAAAACTAGACTGGCCTCAAATGAACATAGGAAACGGATTCAAAACTGGCTAACTGATGGATCTCCGAACGGAATCGGAAACGGGACATCGTCAGCGAGCCGGGGTGTTTCCAGTGGGCTCCCGAAGGGCTCGGTTACTGGCCCGACGTTAGCTAACTGCTTTATCGAAGAGTTGGAAGAAAACATAAAATCACCCCTGAGAAAGTTTGCAGATGACCCAAAGAATCAGGGGAATGGGGAATAAGGAAGAGGCCGAGGAACTGGTTCAGAGCGATGTGGATCACAAGTCATCGATGGCTATTAGCCAGGCTGGGCAGGGATGGTGTCCCTGGCCTCTGTTTGCCAGGAGCTGGGAATGGGCGACAGGGGATGGGTCACTTGGTGATTATCTGTTCTGTTCATTCCCTCTGGGGCACCTGGCTCTGGACGCTGTCTCTCGCCATAACAAAGAGATGGCTAAGGGGTGGCTTGATCCCAGTCTGTCAGTACCTACGTGGGGAGCAAATATTACCCCCTTTCTGCTACAAACTGGTGTATTTCACGCTCTAGACCCCAGCCCTGGAACAGCGCCTGACGCCGTTCCCCTCCATTGGAAATCTCACCCGGACACCAGTGCCCCCTGTCCAGGGAGCGACTCGGCCCCCGGTCCAAGGAGAAATCTGACCTCCTCGTGCCAACAGCTTCCCCCAACAGGCGTCTGCATCACCAACGTCACTGCAGCATTTCTCCCAAGCCTCAGCACCCGCTCGCACACAAAGAACTTCCCAGAGGAACAGCCTGGTTGACACCACACGGGGGGTTTCCAAGTTTTCCTACCATTGCACCGTGTGGCCTTGAAACCGCCGCTCCGGGCAGTGAAGTGCCCCATATATTGTTGCTAGGGCCCCCCAGGGCCGGGCACAGGGAGCCAACGCCCCTCTCCCATCCTCGAAAGCCGTCCTGAATGGAGGTCAGGGAGGCGACCGCTCTGCGGGGGGACGGGCGTGGAAGGGGTGGACTGGTGCTGGGATCGGTTAACGTGACCGGCCGGGTTCAGGGCCGGGCGCTGGGGAGGCCGGGGCCGGTGGGGAGAAGCGGGAGCGGGGCTGGGGCTGGAGCAGAGGCTGTGACAGACGCCCAGGAGGATTGCAGCCGCGTCCCACGCGATGGGGAGAGACACCCCGGATGCCTGGAACACGCATGACACCCCGGTGCCAACCCGGCTGCCTGGCGGGCGTCATTAGGGGCTGGCTGACGATGATCCTGCCCCGGGCCCAGCCCGGCCGTGAAACGGTGCTTCCTCCAGGAACTGGAGTCACTCGGCTAATTAACGCAGCCAGGAACAAGCCCGGGGACGTCGCAGGGACCGGTCTGACCGGGTTCCAGACACCGAGCCGGTGAAGCAGGAGAGCCAGCGGAGAGCCAGCCCTGGCCTGGGGCCAGGTGGGAACCGGCACCCCCTAGAGGGGACAGGCCTCTGCCCCATTTCCCGCCCCCCTGAGCCAGCCAGTCTGTCTAGGGGGGTGAGGTAATTGGAGACCCAACCCCCTCCAATCCAATTCCCACCCTCCATCCTGCCAACTTAGCTGGGGGGGAGCGACTTCTCCCCCTCCCCCCTGTTGCCAGGGTTGCATCCAGCCAATAAAAGGCTGTTCAGCTCACGTCCAAAGTAAGGTGTTTATTGGGGGGGGGTCACACACACAGGGGCTGGTGGGGGAGCAGCTGGGAGCAGGGTTCGTGGGGGGGCGGGGAGTGGGAGTAGCAGGGACTGGGGGGGGCAGGAGGAAGTGGGAAGTGGTCAGCGGTCAGCAGATGGTGTGTGTGGGGGGGGTCTGGATGGGGGAGGCTCCACCCGCAGCTGGAACTGAGTCAACCACTTCCCCGACGGCCGTTTCGTCACTAGGGTAGTGGTGGGGGGTAACAATGCTGGTTCTGGCGGGACCCAACGGAGAGCCTCAATCCAGGACAAATCGCTCAGAGCAGGGCAGACCTCGCCCAAGGCTGGGGTCCTTGGCACACCCAGGCACCAAACCAGCCAGACTAAGAGGACTTCGGTCTCACCCCACTGGCAAACCACACGTCACACCAGCAATTCCCTCAGACACTCCAGTTTCCCAGGGTCACCACCAGCGCCACTCGTTATGGGGATGAATGGTTATGAAAACCAATACCCCAGTAAAATATAAGAGGTTCTCCCGATCCCAAAGGACCAAGCCCCAGACCCAGGTCAATAGACAAGTCAGATCTTCCCCACAAATCACGCTGTTCACAATCCTTTAGAATCTACAATCAAAAGGTTTATTCATAAAAGGGAAAAGATATCGCTGAGAGCTAGAACTGGTCACATGGAATCAGTTACGTACAGTGACGGCAAAGTTCTTGGTTCAGGCTTGTAGCAGTGATAGAATAAACTGCAGGTTCAAATCAAGTCTCTGGCACATCCCCAGCTGGGACGGGTCCTCAGTCCTTTGTTCAGAGCTTCCGTTTGTAGCAAAGTCCCTCCAGAGGTGAGAAGCAGGATTGAAGACCAGATGGAGGAGCTGCAGCTGCCTGTTATAGTCTCTTGCCCTGTGTCTCTGCTTCCTTTGTCCCAAAGACAAGCCGCCCAGCACATGGCACCACAGAAAAACCTCAGAGTTTGGTCCATAGGCAGGTCCCTGCCTTGCTGAGTCACAAGGCGTATTTGCCGTCTCTCAGTGGGTCAGTTGTAGCTGATGGTCCTTAATGGGCCATCAAGCAGGCTAGGCAGCGCTGACACCAGCTTGTCTGGGGTGTCACCCAGAAGCAGAGCCCAAGTGTGAAATACAGACAGGACAGAGCCGATACTTATAACTTGAATGACACATGCACCCAGCCAGCATAATCATAACCAGCAACCCAGAACCTTGTCCTAGACACCTTATTTGACCCCCTTTATACAAGATTTGGTGCCACTACAGCACCTCGGTTGAAACAATGATTGATCCAGTCCCAGTTACTACAACCACATCCCGGAGCCCATTTCCTCAGTAGTGGAGGTGGGGGGCTGCGTTGAGGTGATGGGGGGCTCGGTTGAGGTGGGGGTCTGGGTTGTGGAGGTGGGGGGCTGCGTTGAGGTGGGGGACTGGGTTGTGGTGGTAGGGGGCAGGGCTGTGGTGGTGGTCAGGGTTTCAGGCCTGCAGCATCTGAAATAGACATCGTTCAGGGCCGTGTCGTCCCCTTTGCCCTGGGGGGCCTCCACCTTGGTGGCGATGGTGCAGATGCCCCGCGGGCCGCAGGAACGGCTTTGGGGGCCCCACTTGCCCCAGCACCGCCCGTCCCCCCTCAGCTCCGCCCCGCCCGTGCAGACAAACTCGATGTTGTTGGCAGCCGTGTCGTCCTTGAGGCCCCGGCAGGGCTCCACCCGCAGCCGGAACTGGGTCAGCCGCTGCCCCGAGGGGCATTTCTTCACTGGGCCCCACGAGCCCCACCTGGGAGGAGAGAATGGGTCAGCTGGGTACGGCCCACAGGGGGTGCTGCCTTCCCCCCAACCTCTGCCACTCTGGGCTGGGAGCTGCTGCCCTAGTGTCCCACCGCTACCACCACCGCGATCCCACTGCTACCACCACCGCAATCCCACTTCTACCACCACTAACCCTCTATCAATACCACAATCCCATCTCCGCCACCACTAACCCACTGTCAATACCACGATCCCTCCCCTACCACCACTAACCCACTGTCAATACCACGATCCCACCTCTACCACCACTAACCCACTGTCAATACCACGATCCCACCTCTACCACCACTAACCCACTGTCAATACCACGATCTCACCTCTACCACCACTAACCCACTGTCAACACCACGATCCCACCGCTCCCACCACTAACCCACTGTCAATACCACGAACCCACCGCTCCCACCACTAACCCACTGTCAACACCACGATCCCACCTCTACCACCACTAACCCGCTGTCAACACCACGATCCCACCTCTACCACCACTAACCCACTGTCAATACCACGATCCCTCCCCTGCCTCCACTAACCCACTGTCAACACCATGATCCCACCGCTCCCACCACTAACCCACTGTCAATACCACGATCCCTCCCCTGCCTCCACTAACCCACTGTCAATACCACGATCCCACCTCTACCACCACTAACCCGCTGTCAATACCACGATCCCACCTCTACCACCACTAACCCACTGTCAATACCATGATCCCTCCCCTGCCACCACTAACCCACTGTCAATACCATGATCCCTCCCCTGCCACCACTAACCCACTGTCAATACCACGATCCCACCTTTACCACCACTAACCCACTGTCAAT